CTGCAGTGTACACGGTCCTGAACCTCCTTGCCCAGATTTTCAAATACAGAAATCCTGGCTATGCAGATTCTGGCTGAGGTTAAAGGGCTCATTGGGACGACAAAAAGCGCAGGGAGGAAGGTGGCTATTTTTTTGTTGTTTCCTTCAAATTATTTTGTCTTCCGCTAAGGGAAGCGCTGTTCCTCTAGGCCCAGTCAGTTTCTGGCCACGCCTCCCCCCCCCCCCCTCCCCCCCCTCAGAGCAAGCACAAAACATTTCACTCATTCCCACGGGGCTTTCTGCTTTCTCCCTTCTCAAGTGCCTCAGTTATTGGAGCTAATCGCAGCTGGTTTCCAGAGAGCATGCCCTTCTCCATTGCTAATACAGTCAACAACTTTGTGCCTCCCCTCACCCAGCTCTCTAAAGGCTCGGTGCAGCTCGCAGAGCAGACCTACCACCCGCTCCGCCCATGGAGTGCCTTTGCCAGGGAGGGTTCCCAAAGACCCGCTGGGTGAGGACGATCCCTCGTCTTTTGAGTCCCCGCTGGAAAGGCAAGAACCAGACCCACTAGGATAGCCTAAGCCATAAGGAAACGGCAGCAAGGTGAGATGGAAAATACAGGGTGAAGAAAATTACCCTTTTCTCCTCTGCAGCCAGCCTCGCCTTGCGAGTCAGGAGACATCCTGGAGCCTGCAGGAGCCCCGGCTCTCTGTAGATCTGGCGCATCTCTTGCTTTCTTTTTCCCTGCTCTCCGGCAGCACGGGCTTTCCACCATCCAGACTTCCAGCTTCTATCAGAGGGAGTCCATGCAGCAATGTTTCCTGTTTTATCTTGCCACTCTGCTTATTACTCACTTCTCCCTTGCAAATTTTTCTCCTCCCTCTCAGGCAGCGAGGGTGGGATTAAAGGCATCTAAGCCTAAACATGTGACTACACCAACAGGGGACAGACAAACTGACAAGACTGAGAAAGCTGAAAACGAAAGAGGAAGAAGGTGTGCGAAAGAGAGCTAAGAAATAAAAAGCATATTATCTGAAACGGGGGGACTTCTCAGGGCGGAAATCCCCAGCGCAGCTGGAGTCCCTGATTTCTGCTCTCCTCCCCTGAACGCTCTCCATCAGGGGTAGTGAAATATTAACCCGATTAGTGCTGGAGAGCTTTGTGATCCTCTGCGGCTGCATAAACCTGACCAAACGCCCTACCCTAGCTAGGATGTCAACGAACTCGGGGCATATCTCAGGTGTATTTGTCAGCTGTCAAAGTCATGACTTTTGTGCCTTACTTTGAGGATAGAAAGATCACTCCCACATACTCAAGTGGGAAGTCAGTGCTTCAGGAGCATCAGGAGATTTTGCCTGCACATAAAACTATGAAATGTAGAAATAATAGGTCTACCACTGACAGTACATTCATTGAAGTGGGGAGGTTCATCAGCTACACCAAATTTGTATTAAGCTGCTGAGGATCCAAAAATCATATAAAACTGACTGAAGAGTCCTTCTTTTCCTCCTCCCATTTTCCCTCTGTGTTCCATTTACCTGTTCTTCTCCATATGTATTGTTAACTACGTTACCATAATTCTTAAGTGTACAAATTATTTCTAGCTACAGTTTATCTGAAAGATGGCCCAGACTATGGAAATCCTTATTTTTGTGCCTGCAGCTCTAGAAAAGGTGAGTGTATATTATGTAGGATAAATTATTTTCAGGCTCTAACCTCTCTTCTGTGAAAAAAAATCTGAAATAAAACAATAAGAAAAAGAGAGAGAGAGAGAGAGAGAGAAAGAGAGAGAGAAAGAGAGAGAGAGAGAGGGAGAGAAACCTCTTACATTATTTCAGTGTTCTGTCAAACATAACTGGAATTTTGCTAGAGCTCAGTCCTGTAATCAGAAGCTTCTAGCAAGATGCATGTACTTTGTTTGTTTGTTTGTTTTTAATTTTAATGTCTCAATTTATACTGTTCCCTCTAATAAATATTATGGATAAAAGAACTTGCTTATGCATGCCTGTGATCCTCAATTCTTATAATTGACAGAAATTATCACTCAGCTAGGGCTTCTTATTGTTGAAGTAATGTTGATGAAGGCGAAAATAACACAGGAGAAATAGTAATGCTCAGAATGAAAATACAATCAAGCATCAAGCTTTGGTTCCTATAGTGACTTGCTCTCCAAGGAAAAAGTCTTCTCCCCAGGAAGATCCACCAGGTAGGCCTAGAGGCACGTTACCTTGTTACTCTCTGAAAGTAATAAGTAAATACAGTAAAATAAAGCACAGTTTCTCAAGTCATTTGTTTTCCAATATCCTTCTTTGCTGACCACTTCTCCTGTTTTCCTGCCAGTTTGTAATGACAATGATTTCTCCCACCCAGGTTCATCCCTCTACGCCCCACTCAGACGTTCTCAAGGCTTCCAAATATTGCTGTACTAGAAAAAAAGACAGGTCATGGGACAGAACAAAAGAGTGTATGACAGTAGCAGAGACGAGAGACTGTGCATTTCTGGGAGGTCTGTTAGTATGTTCTTAGGATTAGAGCTGCAGAATTCATGAGAAATAAAAAATTGGATTTTTTTTTTTCCTGTTGTGTGGCAAAACGTGTGTGGGAGAGCTATCAAGTGACATCACTAGAAACACATGTCACATTGTATCTAGCATTACATTTCAGATGGATTTTCAGCCAGCAGAGCAATTTGGCAGTAATAAATTAACAAGAAAGGCAAATGTTCAGGGCAAATGTTTCAGTAATTGTAATTTTGTGAGGAGCCCCTGTTTATAGTCTTCTCTGCTGTGATGTCTCTTAGTTGCCCACTTTTCAGGGAACACTGAGCGCTCACTCCTAAACACTTACCCCTTTAAAACAACTCCTGTTAAACCTGAAGGACCAAGGGTAAAAAGTCGCTAGTAGTTTTGGGGCAATGGCACAGTTTAAACAACAGTCTTGCCATCTCTCACTGCTTATTCTTATCATTGGGTTGTCCCCTGCTGTGTGCTAGCATAAGCTAAAGAATAAACCTTGTTTTATGATGGATTACATCTTATCTGGATCACTTCCTCCCTTCAGTTCGCCACATGAAACAATTACGCCAGCACAGCAGGCAGGGGTCTGGAGAGCGGGAAGAAACATGTGGGGACAGCCACCACTCAAGCCGTATTACCTAACTGCAACCCGAAATGCTCAGAAGTAGATATTTCTGAAATTATTTGGCCTGTACAATAACAGGATAACACTTTAAAGTTATAATCAGGAAAAAAAGCATGTGGTGATAATTTCCTCCAAGTAGGAGAAGTTCAGGCCAGGCACGTAGATCTGAGTATTCTCCTTCGCAAGAGCTGTCTTCCCCTCTGTCATCCAGTTAGTTGCTCAAATAGCTCTCACAGAACCAAACAGTTGCGCAAGGGAATGGAGCTAATATTTCCTTTTGGTTTGCTTGAGATCACAACTTGCTTTTGGTACAACTCTTGCCTTGCACAGAAAATGCCTGTTAGAAGTAAGAAGAGTTAGAAAGGTGATTTAGATACTTGTATACTGTGCTTTGCGTTCCTGGAAAGCAGCACAGCAGAAATTCAGTGTCTTGGGGCAGTGGAACAGAGCAGCCTGGTTTCTTGTGGATTGCTGTCGTTTCTCTTCTGTGCACCCCTATCAAAGTATCCTTAGCTCCTGTACGACCACTCCACCACGACCCACATTCCTTAGCTTTCCTTCTCCTGCTCCTTCACATGTTTTTAGCAGAGGGCAAGGGGTTGCATACTCTAGTTGATCTTGAGCTATGTATGCTGATTATCCACCTGGCAAATCAAACAAACAAATACCTGTTGACCATATGTTGAAACCTTTCATTCCATTGGATGGAGATGTGGATCTTTGTCCTCTACATGGACTCTGCATGACGTACATAGTACCAAATTTATATTTGAGACTTTCAGTCAGTTAAAATGAAATTTGACAAATGTAATCAGAAGTTATGAGGGACAGGTAGAAAGCAGTGAAAAGCCAGAACAAGAAATTTTTGTAAACCTTGTATCTTTAGGAAAACATCCAGAGTGACTGCGTTCCAGCAGGAGAAACGAACAGTATGTTTAGCACAATGTGTACTACCATTATGTATACAACACGGTCAGTAGTTAACGGCTGTGCCTCCTCTGCAAATACTTTGGAAAGTTCTTAGTATAATGACTGTATTATTCTTTTACCTTCAGCTACCAGATGATAATAATTTATCCAGTTATTTCTGCACCTTCAGCTGCACAATAGGTGGCCCTGCAGGTTTTTGCTGCTGTCTTCAAAAGCTATTTTAACATATTTCTTCTCTTGCTAATTGCTTAAAGAAAAAAATACAGAGAAAATCAGTAAGTAATATTTCCCACTTCCGTTCTGTCTTTTAAGAAACAGCAGTCATTTCTGATAGCTATTTTAAATACAAAATGCAATATTGATGAAAACTAAATTACATGAAATGGCTTTCTCTGCTTTTCTTTCAGACTCACCTTTGATCACTGGGGACAAAAAGTGTTCAAAGTCCTTCGTTGTTTACTAGAGGCACAGTGAGCTCATATGTCAGGACTATTGTGTTTGACTGCAGAACAACAGTAGTGAGATAAAATACAGCTACAAAGGGGAGGAATTCATGCTGGTATGGCAGTCTAGGGTATACAAACGGTCTCTACAGGGCTGGAATCTTTTGATCTCTTCTGCATGCCAGTCTGTAAATTAGGCTATCCATTTAGGATCAAACACTCCTCATACACTTACCAAACCGTCTCTCTATGTAGTTTCCTATGTACAACTGCATTCCAGATTTTTCAGACTTATTCGGATAATTCATATAACCACATTTTAGATACATTCTGATATAGCGTTCCTGTAATGTCTTCCAGCTCGACTGCAGACATCTGAAGGTGATAAAAAAAAATACTGCTAATTTTAACCCAGGTATATTTAGAGACTAGCGCATGTGAAGAAAGACTGCAAGAGCTGGGCCTGTTCAGCCTGGAGAAGAGAAGATTGAGAGGCGATCTCATAAATGTGTACAAGTATCTCAAGGGGGAGTGTCAAGAGGATGAGGCCGGCCTCTTCTCCGTGGTGCCCAGCAACAGGACAAGAGGCAACGGGCAGAAACTGAACCACAGGAAGTTCCACCTGAACCGGAGGAAAAACTTCTTCACTGTGAGGGTGACTGAGCATTGGAACAGGTTACCCAGAGAGGTAGTGGAGTCTCCTTCGCTGGAGATATTCAAAACCCGTCTGGATGTGATCCTGGGCAATCTGCTCTAGGTGACCCTGCTTGAGCAGGGAGGTTGGACTAGATGATCTCCGGAGGTCCCTTCCAACCTAAACGATTCTGTGAGTCTGTGATTCTGTAAACACACACACACGAAGGTTTTCCATGCTTCCTTTGCTTCTTTGATCAAACCATAGGTAGGCTGCTTACTGCAAAAATACCCCAACGTTAGATAACACAGCAATTTGTTAAATGACGACAGAACTTCGGAAGGACTCAAACTGTGGTAGATACATCCAGAGAAATGGACGTATCTTATCTGTTTAGCTGCATATGTGCTCTAGTGATCTGACTTCCTAGCTCTCTTGCTCCATCATTTTGAACTCTCGCAGTGCATGAAGCGAGTATTTCAAAGACAGGGGCAAAAGGTTTTATTTAGAAATGGAATCAAGTGGCTTTCAAACTAGCTGCTACAATACACTGGTCCTCGGATACTTGTTCTATGTTGTAAGATAGGAGACTAATCTGGAACAGTGTACTTTTTGCAGATGCTAATAATCAGAGGCAAAATATCAGAGTGACAAATTGAGAATCAGGCAGGAATTCCCCCCAGGGCCTGCTGGAGAGCTTTTAGTTTTCCCTTACAGAATGAAGTAAGTTTTATTTTGTATGGTTGCTGGGCACACTTCACTAAAATTCTGTGCCTGTGTGAGGAGCACAGAGTTAGTCATTTCTCTTGCTGTCTTTTCCTGAAGATTTTTAGATGTAGGGCTCCTAGGACTAAAGACCTGCAATTGGGAAAAGATAACTAGCTTACATAGCTAGAAAATTTGAGTACCAATGATGCAAGGTTTTAACTACACAAAGACTCAGGAAAATTCTACCAAATTATGGCTATTTTTAAACTGTTTGAAATCGCTAGGAGATAGAGTTATTTGAAAATTTTAAACAGTTTTCATTCAATTTAGCTGAATGTTCTTTGAAAGTGACAGAACCAGAATAATTAAAGCTTTTTCGTTCTAAATGACAGTGTCCGTACAGGATGTAACACAGAGACTAAATAGTTCCCTTTCAATTCGTATTTTTAATTGACTCAGATCAATTTTCTTGAGTGTTTCAGTTTAGACAAGTCCCCCAGCTTTGGACACCGGTCTTCCTCCAGGATATGAATGTCTCATCTAAGACATAAATGTCCTAGTTCTACAAGGACATCCTACTATAATAACTAGGGCTGCACTGGCTAGAATAAAGATATAAGTGATCTTTCTATAGCTGATTTTACTTCTGTAAATTTCACTGTTGGTAAGTAATGAGCACGTTCAGATAAATCTCACTTTCCTTGCCCCATCTCATAACGCAACAATACAGAGCTTACCAAGATACAAACCAATTTCTGCATAACAACTCTTTAGAATTTAAGTGCATTATAGCTATGGATGATAGACTTAG